AAAGCGTTGAACTCAGAACCGAGAAGTTCCAGGGTTCGAATTACCGTCAGGTCGCCTGCTTTTCTTTTATAGAGGCTGATAAATGAGTACCACTCTATGGTAAGGAAACATGAGAGCAGCGAACTTTGCTTTCTATATAGCGAACGACGACTCTGCCGTTAGAATAAAGCACTTCCGACTGATGATATGGAAATGAAAATAATCATTCTATCGTTAAAGGCTTGGAAGACCATCTGCCACTTGAGAGTGAGGAGTAAACGTTAAGCGTTACGTGTTTAAAATAGCAAAGACACATTCGACGATAGATCTGTGACCTTAAGTTTCCAGTTTACTTAATCTAACATGTAAATTAGGATAGTAAATTATGCAAAAACAGCTGACAATGCAAATGTAATTTTCCTTGAGGGTCAGCAACTAAGTTCAATACTGAACCAGAAAGAGCAACAAAACGATAGCCTATCCGGAAAATATAATTCTATCACAGATGAATCATCTTCACTGCACATCTTTGGAGCGCTTCAAAATTTGTCGTTGTTAATTAGCCTCATTAGCAACGAAACTTTGCACGGCTGGCGGATGTGGACACAGTCCAACCCACTTTAATGGCTTATTATACAAAGTTTCAAGAAACACGGCCAAGTAAAAAGTTGTCTGACCTGACCAAACGCTTAAAAAAGTTGAAACCAGATCAGCTTAGCTTGGAGTAAGGGCTATCAGAGCATGGAGCAATCGAATTTAAGACTGCGCATCACGTCATAAAGGTACCCCTACTGTTGGATCAAGGTTAAGCTAAGGCAACAAATACCTTGTTAATCAATCATGATTTACACAAAGTTTAATTACTGTCGGAAACTTTCGCTTTCAATTCAACGAGGTCAAAAAACTGGCAGCGTTTACTGTCATTCGCGTCAGTTGATTGGTAAGGCAGCGTCGCTTCATTTTGTTTCCGAAAGACTTTCACTGATTGAAAAATCTCGTGCTGCGTGTGTATGTGGTTGTTCAGATCATCACCATCATGAGTGATACGGCAATATGACGGGTTCGCTTACTTACCCTGGAAACAGTTAGTATGCAAGAGAAACCTAATAAGTAGTTGTAACTCATCCGCTTCAGATAAGCGTTCCCACATTAGACTTTCTCCAATATTTCAATTGTTTTTATTTATATCCTCTACAGTATTACAGGCACTTCAATAGGTGGCATTCTTTGCTTCATAAAAAAAAGTTTTTGGAAATACAGAAATGTAAAGATCAAGATTTAACTAGTTGAAGGACATCCCTTTTAATTACAGATTTTTAGCATGTAAGGAATAGGGAATTCACATGCAAGGTATTAAGAGTTTATTAAGAATACACATGGCGTAAAACCTTTTTGGATAAGGACCGAAGTTTTGGCTGATGTCACTAGTCTTTATCAACTGCAAAAGATATACAGCGGTATGGTCATACAAGACTGTCAAGATATGAGTTGTTTTTTTATTGGTGTCGGAAATTTACATAAATTTAAACATAATGGAGAGATATAAACGCCTTCTCTTCTACACGCAGCAGAATACGTCACATAACGAGACCAAGTTTCGACTGGGCTTGTCAGCCCTCATCAGCCGAAATAGTTTGATTTAGGAACGAAATTTATTTCTAGAAGGCTGCAGAGCTAGTTTTTAACTTCCAGCCAACCAATGCCTTCAGCGGATGGATGTCGGCTGTCGCGCAGTTGTCATGTTTTTGTCCGCCGTTGATTTCGTCGGCAGTTAGGTTGTTGCCATCACTCTATGATCCTTTGACCGTTCAAAGTTCTTAATATGGCTTATTCAGGTTTTGAATATTTCCACTCCATAGGCCCTCTTCATGCTATTATCCAGTGGTTGAATAAAACAGCTACTAATAACAATCACTCAAATAAGTCTACTGACAGGCTGAGAGGTCTTGCTCCGTCGAAGTCGATCCCGTGACGGGTAGTGTGCAGGCGCAGATGTTACTTCTCGTTCCCTTAGGGCGTCTTGGTCTGTCACGAGTCGTTCGTTCGTTCGCTCATGATTTTCACAGCGTCAAACTTTTCGAACAAATTCGCTCTCTTCTCTGTTCATAACTTTGAATCATGGCTGAATTAAGAGCGCTTTGGCAATTACGCGGTTTCTGTAATTGCAGTCATTATGGTCGACATCGTTAAAATCGACACTGTGATCAGCAGATATTTAGTGAGAAGTCGCTGCCGAACTTTTTTTCTAAAAGTCACTCTTCTTTCATATTTGGGTTTGTAACGGTAGCTGCTTTTTTCTGTTCTACCATACTTGTTCGTAACGGTCTGGCGATTACATCAATATAAGATATTTGGCATTCCGTGCAATTTATTGAAAAAAATTACATCGGCCTTTTCGGCTCTATTATTCTGCTCTTAGTCCTCATCAACCGAGATCTCAGCTTTTCATGCAATATGAAGGTCATCTGATGCTTTTCTTTTGCAGCACACGACTTATCGATTCTGAATAATTCACTAATCACAATAATAACTTATAATAGCAGATATCTGTAATTACTATTTCCTGTAGAGTAATGATAAAGAAAATCTCACAACAGATTTGGTAACAGTTAAACTAGATTTGAAAGTGAGAGTTGACACCAGTGATAAAAGCTTAATACTCCCAGGTCGGAACGCATACCTATAATCGTTGAAAAAAGGTTATTACACATAAGTATAGTTTTAGATTACGTTTTTTTACAGTCTAACAGACAGCGTACAGTGATCAAACAGCATACCTCGATCGAACTTCTTTCCGTCAGGATCGACGTCTTTCACATGGAATAGGTCATCGAACAATACTCCCGCCATCCTAAAAAATTTGCTTTGTCTGATTTTATTTTGTGAAAGTTGAAACTGTTCGAGCAAATTTAATAAATAGCCTTGCTTTTCAGCACAGATAAAACAGAACAATAATTTGCCCAATGGTTTGGAAGTAAAAAATAAGGGTCTGTGAGAATAAAACAAAAATACAAGTATAGGCAAATCTATAATACTTTATCAATATCGCACGTGAGGCGTGATACCTGAGGCTCGAATCTGAGACCTCTGGTTTTGAGTTCTACGCTCTACAGACTGAGCAATTCCGGTGTGAAACAGCGTTAAACAGTAAATTCCGTGCTCAAGGGAATTCGTGAATGAGAGCCTGGCAGCTGAATCGAAGTTATCACCTACAGTTTGAAGCAGACTTATCAGACACTGTGCAACTACGCCATTGTAAGGTACTATGCCATCATTGCTGGTGGAATTCCGGTGAAAGGAAAAAGGATCGCATATTCACATACATTCTCGATGAAACAAAGTAGCTATACTTATAATAATATGATTAATTTGTGCCTTTGAAGGCTGATCTTCTAAAAAAAGGTGGCATGTCTCGTATCCTACAGTTAAGAATCACTATACTAAGACCTGTACTCGATACGCCAAGGTGTCCTCGTCTGAATCTGCAGCATGATTCAATCAATCTAGCCAGTGGTCTAGTTGAAGCATCCTTCATCATTGCCGTCACATTGTCTACGACTGCTAGTCGCCCAAATTCTGTCATTTCGCAACTACCCTTAAATGCGAAAGTTGTTATATCATCCGTAACACGCATTTAACATTACTTGGTAAAAAACCGAACCGTGAACAGTAAATTTTATGGACAACACCGGAGAGTAGATTCATTTTAAAAAATTACCATGCCGTTGCATTCCCTAAAGGCTTGGGCCATATTTTATGCATGTGTTTTAAAAGGCAAAATAAAGTACAAAAATGAAGGGATATAGAATATATTTTACAAAAATGTTAATGGAAAAGAAGCGAAAATGAAGTGCTTTCAATCATCGGAAACATTAAACTTAATGCATATTATCGACTATTTAGGGGAGTTGCTTTTATTCGTCTACGGATGCCTAAAACCTTAAAATAAATACAGTAAACTGAGTACACTTTCTGAATAAAGATGATGAGTATCGTGCAAGAAGGGGGGACGAATACATATATACATACATACAAATACACCCGTAATTAGGGAACATTCACATGCACATACATCCACTTTGGGCAAAACAGTAACTTATATAACTACCTGTTTCCGAGACAAGTTTCTAAAAAAAATTTGTTACGCGACAGCGAAACCGGAACAAAATAACTTCTACCTGATGAGCAAGAGAAATACGATGAATGGTTTATGACATAACGTAGTGTGAATTAGAATTTATCTGATGACCAGTCATGTTTCATTTTGTTTAACAGGCCTTCCTTATAGCTGGCTGATATTTCATGCTCACCGTTGTTGTCGAATGGTTTGGGACGGAAAAGGCTGCTTAATCTTCAAAATCAGTTGAGCAGTAAACCTTGTTGCAATTCAGCAAATCAGTCAAGTTCTTTAGCTTTAGCAAAGGTAAAGGCTAACAGGTGAAGACAATTTCATCACAAATTAAAAACTGGAACTACCCAATCATCAAGATCATTAAAAAATCAACGAACAAGGCAAGCCATCCACATTCTGCCATTGCTTCACATACACATATCATCTACTTCATCATCTTTCCCAGTTACCATAGTGACAGCAAGTGACTGGTGATACAACTAGGCATGAGAAGAGCTAATATCAATATATTTCCTGGCTTTCCAATCCGTCAGTTTCAGGAAACTAAAAACATCAACCCTCTATCATTATCACAAAACATTTACGCTGCGGTTAAAACATGATTTCGAACATTTCCTTCTCAATTTCTATACGCTTTTACCTCCACTCACGACGTCAACATTAGATCATTTAGGATAAAACTAATGTGCTAATGGTGAAGCACTATTACGCATCAACATTCATTCGTAATGATAATCAGCCCGAAGTCGGAGCTGCTACGGCGCTGCAAGCTATCGATGAACACTGAAACTACAAATGACAGAAGAAACGGAATTATTTAAAATTACGCAGAATCCGAATATGGCGCAACTGTTATGATGAAGACCACGCAAGTATTTTATTTATGAAATAATTCGTAAAATATCTCATACGTTACACTGATAACTGCTACACCTTCGGGACGACAGTTACCGAACAATATTGATACACAATTCTCGTGACCGTGTCATGGCATACGGTAGATGCGTAGGCTATTAAATATTTTCCTGATAAGCAGTCCTCGCTATTGTGGATCATCGGAGAGGAACAGTTAGATAGTCAAGTCATGACAAGTCAAGTTTATGATCTTGTGTAACGAATGATGCATTCAAAATAAGCGCATCCTTTACTTTTGCATTAAACAGTTCCATTAAATGTATCACAAAGAAGGTTGATGGCAAGTCAGAAAATTATGTACAAATAATTGCTCTTCCAGTTCTGGCTATTACACTGTCCTGGCCAGAAAAAGCTGGAATGGATTCCAGGTGGAATTCTGTTTGAGAAACTGGAAACTCTAGGTGCAACTGGTGATTGTCATCATCCAGTATGCTCTGACCTAGGCAACAGGCAGCTGCAGTTGTCATTCTGTAATTGCATTTTTTTCTACATGGATTCTGCTTATTTATATCGCGGCTCGACGCAGTAACTCGAAGACTTTCTTCATCAAGCCTGATAATATAATCTGGCTGGAATTAGTGACAAAGGAAACGTTTCATCCGAAAACAAAGTGGCGCACTGCTTCTTTTGGCGGTAATACAGAAGTTTCATTAACCTCAGTAGATAATAAAGTGCCCTGTGAACCTTGAGACATGTGGTAAAACCGGTCCAGTGTAGTGTTTGGCATGAACCCAAGGTATTTTGTAGTGTCGCAAGATGAGATTAACTCCCCTTCTAAGCTGATACGATGTTCGATGAAGAAGAGCTAATTGGAAGATCCGATGTTCTTCATCCGGAAGGATAGTTTGGAGCTTTTCATATGGTTAAATCTTAAAATGATGTTCTTGATCTATAGCTCAGTATCTTTTACTGCACTTTACGGGCTTTGCAGGTTTGGCTTCTTCCGACAACGCGCTTGATGCAGCAGACAGAACTAACGGTGCATGACGAGCTCGCATGAAAGTTAAAGAGTAGGGGCGATCGCACTGAAACTTGCAGAACGCCCAAGTTTTCCTGCTTCGTCGATCAGCAGTGCCTTTCAGCTGCGACGACTGTTGCCTGACTGCCGGTCAGAGAAATAAACTGCAAACCAGAGGAGCAGCATGTTTTTTTAAACCTGCGTTTTGCAGACAGTAGAGAAGACCATCTTTCGCCCTTGCAACTGATGGGAAGTCTAAGAAGATGGCCTTCGCAATGGTACAGCCACAGTCAAATGCATAGGCCAAAAATTCTATACAACGGGCTAGAGCATCTAGGATAGAGCGGCCCTTCGCTATAATGACTGAGAGCAGTTTTTCGTTCCATAAAGTTCACTGAGGAGCAGCGATCAAACAGTGGTCTCCATTCTTTTAAACAACACAGATATCATGTCGATGGGGTGAAGGGCTTCTGATTTGGTAGCAGCAGCTGTCTCTGTAACAGATTAATTTTTGACATACTCCAATAATCCAGAAAGATTTCAGAATGCAAATAATTATCAAACAAATTTCATAACGCATCATTCAGTTCGGCTTTGCACATCACTGACAGTTTAGCAATGATTCCGTCTATCCTAGAAGCGTTGCTTAATTTTAGGGAGACAGAATACGAGTTCATCGAAATCTATTGGACCTTCTGGAATGGCGGTGGTTAGCAAATCCTTGTTGCAAGGAAGCGTCTCTCCCGAATCTTATTCGAAACAAGAATATTCGTTCAGGCCATAAAGGTTGTCAGTGGATTGTTTATGTGGATTTTTATATCAGCTGTACCGACGTATCGCTGTCCACAGTTGTTTCCACTTTTTCTTATCGAGTAAATCTGTGAAATGCAGCTTACGGGTACCCTAGATTTCCTTACTAGTCTGCAGAAGGCTTTTATACAATACGATTCCATCGACGCGATACGCTCGCTCGCTGATACGGTGCAAATGATTCATTGAACCCGTAGTCACGAAAGCTTGGTTGACTATGACCTGATCGGAAAGGCATCAGTTTTCAAAAAGGTTATGTAACAGCTAACAGTTGCCGTTGTGTCGTTCAGTAATAAGATTTTAAATATCGACCACTCTGTTGTTGCGGAAACGTCCTGCAATTCTTGGAGTGCAGGGCGGAAAAAGCGTCAAATCAGGTGATGAACTTTTACGGGCGGATTTGCACCGATTCTCTGTATTGTAGATCTTCAAGATTAGGATAATAACGCAGTGATCGAAGCTAGCAATAGGCGAGCTGTTTGACTCCGAATTCAGCGGGCACGTTGGTCATTAAGTAGTCAAAATGAGATGACAAATGCGAGGGAAAGTGCCGATGTTGAGCAGTCTGAGCGAAGTTAACAGGTGCACTGTCCTGTCTATTGAAATCTCTGGCGATTACGAACACATATGTTCCCAGATGTGTCTATGCGGAACTCGTGAAAGCGTTCACGAAAGAACACAATTGCGAGGGAATGCGTACGGTAGCGACGTTACCGTTTGCCAGAATCATGCTGGAGTAACTTGGAAAGAATGGGATGGGGCGCAACAGGATGAAATTTTATGTCCTGGATTGAATATTTGCAGCAGAATCGAACATCGGATTCACCACCGTCGCGAAGCTTGGATTTGGAGTATCCACGTGCTCTGTACAAAGTGCAATTTTTGAAGCCAATCACCGCGTCTTCAAATGTTGTATGAAACCACGATTCATGGCCAAGAACATACGAAGGGAGACAAGATGAAGTTCCCTCATTCTTCATGATCAGTTTTAGACCTGCTAGATTATTCAGTGTCGAACGGTTGTTTGTCGAAAGAAGAGATGGGATGATTTTGTTTTCCCGTTTTGTAGTTTTCGTAGCTTTCAGTCGACAGGTGTCCGAAATCGGAAATTTCAATTTAAGATGTCAAGAACCATCAAGAGTTCACTATTTTCTCTAAATACTTTGCTGCTGGGGCACGTCGACGAACGAAAGTTCATGTAAGAAACGTCGGGCAACCATTGTCATGCAGGAATTACGAGAGTATTACACACAATACAAACAAAAAAAGAGCAAGGACGCAAAAGGTAGCAGCTATGTGTATAGCTGTAAACGCTAGCAATGTGTACAGCTGTCAGAAGGTCAGAACAAATTGTCAGCCGGGCGCATGAACACTAACGCACATACATGAACACACTGATAAGCGCGACAGCTCTTTAATCGATCAAGTTTATTACCTCTGCA